AAGACTTGGATCCACATCTTTTATCTTGCTAGAGGATGATTTTGATCTGAATATTGCATCCTCTACTTTAGATAAAGTTGGCTTTCCATTTAACCTACACACTAAAGATTTCAAGTCAAATTTGACATCTCCCCAAGACTGGTGAGAGCCTGGAGGTAACAAGGGGACTTTTCCACAGCTTCTAAAAGTCACAATGACTAGAGATAACTAGGGGACTTTTCCCCAGCTTCTAAAGGTCACCAGGACTGGAGATAAGAAGGGGACTTTTCCACGGGTCAAAGTTTACAGTTAATGTAGCTGTTGTACAGTAACTTTAACTACAATAACCTTAACAGTAAGAGACCAAATAATGAAACAAGAATAATAGCAAATGTCAGTAACTGTTATGAAATAAAAGGGTCTTTACATCTGGTTGGTCAGTCACTCAAGCCATCCGATCAGTGTGTTGTTGCTAGTAGGATTGTAGGCTCCATCTACAGATATATTGACTACAAGTATAAAGAGGTTAAAGTTAGGCCACATTTGGAGCGTTGTGTTCAGTCTTGGGCTCCTTACCTTAGAAAGGACATTGAATTGTTGGAAAGGTTCAGAGAATGACTACCTGAGATGGAAAGCCCCCGGGAATTGATAGGGTTGATGCATCATCTTTTTTTGTACTTAATGTTGAGAACTGTGAGACCAAGGGATGCAGTTATAAACCTTGTCACGGTAAAATTCATCTTCAGATAAGACAATTTTGTTAATTTAAGAAAGGCTAAATAAATATTTAAATTATAAGAGCTGGCTTTGAGTTTTTTTTTAAGTTTAGTTTAGTTTAATGTTGTGGATGGGACGGCTCAGACGGACTAACAGATCTCTTGTTGTCCCTTATCTTTATGTCACGTTCTATTAAGTACTTCTAGTGTGTTTCTTCTACAATATTATTTTCATTAACATTTATTTAAATTTTATTAGTACTAATTGTTTATTTGTTATGAATTTCGCGCAAAGCTACACGAGGGCTAGGCAGCTCGTTATCACCACCCACCGCCAACTCTTTTACCAACGAATAGTGGGATTGACCGTAACATTATAACGCCCCCACGGCTGAAAGGGCGAGCATGTTTGGCGTGATGGGGATTCGAACCCGCGACCCACAGATTGCGAGTCGAGCGCCCTAACCACATGGCCATGAAAGGGCGGGTATGTTTGGCGTGACGGGAATTCGAACCCGCGATCCACAGATTGCGAGTCGAGCGCCCCCTAACCACCGAACCATGCCGGGCTTTTGTTCTGATATTTAGTTATTACTGGTATTAAAATAAACTGCTGATCAACAACTGTTTTATACCATATATTACGTTATTTGCTTATATAAAGGGCGAGGCTTAGCATTGTGGTAGAGCTCTGGAGTTAGGAGCTAACGGGCCTGGTTTAAATCCGTAGGAGACAACAAAATATTCCTCGCATTTTAAACGTGGAGAATTATCTGTACTTTAAATAAATGACATGACAACTGAAATAATGCTTCCTATATTGCTTATTTAAACAAATGAAATAATGATTCCTATATTACTTATTTAAGCAAATGAAATAAAGCTTCCTATATTGCTTATTTAGACAAATGAAATAATGCTTCCTATATTACTTATTTAAACAAATGAAATAATGCTTCCTATATTGCTTATTTAAACAAATGAAATAATGT